TTTCAGTATGATTATATATTTATGTTGTTATTATTGTTAGTACCTTTATTTGTATTTAGACGGTAGGCAAATATTTATCTTTATCTAGTCTCTTCTTGTTATGCAAGATAATAATTAGGGAGAAGATGACTATTTATTCTTCTCTCTCTTGCTCGCTGTGTCAGGTATGATTCATTGATTTCTAATAATTGCTTCATTGAAAATAGTTCTATGAAGAAGGTATGCATAAGAAAATTCTCATTTTTATTTTTCGATGATCAAGATATCTGATTTTTTATCAGGTTGTGTTGTTTAAAAGCTTCTAAGACGAACTTTGTAGGTTGTACAAAAATCCTACGCGGAATTTTGGTTACCAACTCAAGAAAAACTAGATATTTATCAATTTGTTTGACTACTTATCATAATACAATGTTTGGATTTTTATAAGATTTAACTTATTAGAAAACTGGGTCTTATAAGATTTCCCATGACATATCTAATACATCAAAAATCGAATATCTACATCAGTAAAAAATTTAAACTAAAGTTTTTTCTTTTGCACATGTGTCATCTATCTTCTACGTTTGTTGAAGGATTCCCGATGGATCGTTTATTCAAAATCGATTAGTTTGTTCACTTTTGTTGTAGGATTAAAAATCCACAAATCAATTTAAAATTCATAATTAATTGACTTAAAATTCTTTTGTGTCATATATACCTCCCTATATATTAATCCAAAACGTGTTAAGCATAGGTGGCAGATTCTCACGCTTCGGATGCTGACATGGCGAAAATCTATGCTTCGTGATGTTGATTTTATATTATTTTTGTTCTGAAGTTAGGTTTGGTATTAGACATAAATAACTTTACACATATATTCATTAACTCAACACCCATGTTGCACATGGGTATTAGTACTAGTTAGGGCTTTTAATTATGAAAGACAAATTGTGAGTTTTGTATACTTTAGAAGCAAATTGTTTATTAAAACTAGTAGATATCCTGTGCACATGCACAAATGCACATAAAATATTATAAGTAATATTTGAGAATTTAATATTAAAATTCTAGATAATGAACATATTACATTTTCAAAAATTTGATAATTAGGAAAAATAAATTAACAATTTTATTATTATGAACAATTGTTTATTATCATTAGATAATAACAGTTTGATTATTATTATTATTATTATTATTATTATTATTATTATTA